AAAAAAAAAAAAGAAAAAAGAAAAAACAACATAAAAGAGTTGAAATCCCTATTCACGTAATCCGATCACGATCGTTCGACGAAATGCATATCGTTTTCAAGCTGCAACTTGGATCCCTTCAGAATAACCCACCCGTTCGTTCACCAACCCTTTTGTCCTCTTCCAGCCCCCCCCCCAGCCCCCTTACTACTATCACCTATCCCATTCACCCTCACTCAGTATAAAAAGAGAGAAAACCATAACACGAATACAATGATTCTTTCGTTTTCGGTTAATTTCATTAAAGTAGTATAGTAGTAATAAGTAGAACAAAAAAGAAGTCAAAGTTTTCGATGAAATAAAACGTGTGTGTATGTGTCTTATTATTATTCTTATTTTTATTCGTGTAACCAAAGGGATTAATTATGCTTGAAATTGCTTGAACAACCCCAACCATCGTTTTTTTAACAACCAATTGAAGGAAGGGAAAGTTATTGTGTATTGTTATTGTTTGTTGATTGGTTGGTTGTATTATATGGCATTTCTTATCTTTTTCTTTCCATTTTTTATTCATTTTGTTTTGTATATCTTTCCTTTCCCTTTTTTTTTTATTTCTTTCTCTCTTTCTTCACCCTTTATTTTCTTTCCCCTTCACCTTGTACCCCGTACCACCCACCCACCCCCACTACCACCACCTTTCTCAATCTCTGTCTCTCTCTTTCTTTTTTTAAATGTCAGATGAGAGACAAGAAATAAAAGATCAAAAGAAGCAAACTTCTTTTACTCGTTTGTTTTTTGTTCTTTGTTTTTTTAACCGTGCGGTGAAGTGTTGGACACACACACACGTTCACCGCGCCCCCACGACGTCACGTCGATCGACCTATTTTCTATGGTGTTTTTTTAATTTTCTTCTTATTTATTTATTTATTTATTTTTAAATCGTAAATACCTCGATGCGTTTTTTTTCCATGATTCTTACCACCCCGCCACCCCCCCGCCCTCCTCGCTGTACAATCAATTTTATTTTTTACCTAATTTCAGATTTTTTGGGTTTCATTCTTTATTCTTTTGCTACTTTCATTTGCTATTTTTTTTTATTGGCTTTCGTTTTTATTTCATTTTTGTTGTCTCGTGTAATTACTCGCAATGAAACGTATATCAAGTTAGATTTGTGATTCTGATTCGTTTGAATAATAATTAATAGGGGTTGATTATTGGATATGTGATATGTTGTTATTGTTTTTGGTTTTTTTTTTTCTTTTTTTGTAATATCGAACAACCTACCGGTGCTCGGTGGTCAAATGACACACCGGGCTTCGTTTAATTAATAAAATGTATATTTTGTTTATATTTGATAATAAAATAAAAGTATTTCTCGTTCGTTTAATTCCAAAATTTAGAATTATTTATAATATGTGAGATTTTTTTTCATTTGATCACTCTCTCACACACGCACACACACACACATACGGTAGGAATTAAGTATAAACGATATATTTAAAAAAAAGTGTTTGTGTGTTTCATTCATTTTGTTGTTCTTGTTTAAATATAAAATATAATAATTTTTTGTTTAGATATTTGTTTCATAATATTATCGTATCAAAGTAAAATCATAAAATTTTCTTTCGCCAAATATCGGATAATTTTTTTTTTGAATTACCGATCCTACGAAATATTTTTATTTTTTTATCCTTTATTTTCTTTTTCTTTCTTTTCTCGTATCGTCTCGTAAGTAAACTCAAAACAAAATTGTTTCTTTCCTGCGTAGATCCATTAAAAAGTTTTACCAAACCCCCTACCCCCCTACCC